TCCCACGGCTGAAAGGGCGAGCATGTATGGTGGGACGGGGATTCGAACCCGCGATCCTCAGATTGCGAGTCGAGTACCCTAACCACCTGACCATGCCGGGCCCCATAGAGAGATAATTTACACAGAAAAGCAACACAGTGAATATTAGTAAGTTATCCAAAATAACTAATTTTTTTCATGACACAAGAACTACCGTGTCATTAGTAACGAAAAACAGACAGAGTATTTTAGTGCTAACAATCAAACACGGACAACAATTTTCCACTACAAGTTCGATATGTCTGTCTATTAATATTATGACTTAAATAACTCCGACTTTGTGTCCAATAAAATAGCCAACTTTATAACTTGTTACCGAATCTATTTTTCAGACATTTATATTTTCCTAGTAGGATAGACATCTGAACAGGAATTTATGTACATCCTCATGATTATTTTAAAACAAGCCCCCGGTGGCACAGCGGTATGTCTGCGGACTTACAACGCTAGTATCCGAGTTTCGATACCCGTGGTGGGCAGAGCACATATAGCCCATTGTGTAGTTTTGTGCTTAATTACAAACAATCAATTTTAAAACAACATTACTATAGAAAGCTCCTTGATCTTAAATGATTGTAAACGTAAATGAAGTCCCAAAAAATCGTACCTAAAAAAATATTGTTATGTATCTGCTTGTTTGTTAATTTCCGGTAGAAATTCTTTCCGAAAAACTTCAGCGATACAAATCCTTTCTTGATTAAAATAGTTTATTCTTTCTCGATACAAACTTGGTAAGACACAGAATTAACACAGTCAATACGTTTCTCGTCTTTTTAAACTTAACAACTTTTATAATACACGCTATAAATCACAGTGATTCACAAGTTCGATAATATCGCTCTATGCGACGACTGCAAAACACACATAATTTACGGCTCACCGTCACTGCTGTTCGGTTGACTCAATTATCTACATATCTCTGGCTTTCTTTGCCAGGCCTATATATTAAAAAAGAGGGCATCTCGATCAGACTAGAGTTGCCAGCAAATTCACGATCCTTCGAGAAACTCCAGCGCGCATGTTCCCAGTGTCACGTGACTTCCGCTGTCGTAACACTGCCCCGTCCTTAGTATTGTTTGAGTTTGAGTTAATTTGTTTGATTTTGCCTTGCCGACTTTCACTAAGCTACACTTCTCTGTTTCCAGCCATTTTGGTTCTGAGTTTAAAAAAACTGGTCTGTTGAGTTCACCTGTTAAATACAGCTCACGCAAATAAATGTTTCAAATAAATAACATTAAAATTTCTTATATAGATATAGTTTTCTTAAAATATATTTCCATAGTTAACATACGGCCAGTAATAGAATACACTTGCCCAGTTGTTATAAGGTAAAAGTCATATACTCATCATTGAAATAAGTGACAAACCTATCTATGTCAATGTTTTTCAGACTAATAAGATGCCGAGTCTGTCGTCTGATACTCAGAAAAAAGGGGTCTCTCCGATCGCAGAGTTCTATCGCGGAAAAAATGTCTTCATTACCGGAGCAACCGGTTTCATTGGAAAGGTAGGATCTTTCTTCTAATTTGTGTTATCTATTATATCTCAGTTCGAAGGTAGTTTAATGCACAATAAGCTATCTACACTCTGTCCACCGCAGGGAATTGAACCCTGGATTTAGTATTCTAAGTCCGGAGACTTATCGCTGACCACCGAGAGACTAGTGTGGAAGAAAAAATATATATTTCTTTTTTATTACGGATTGGATAAATTTAAATACTTCTAAGTAATATGTTTTCTGTCTTTCTTTTTCTCTCTCTCACACAAACATATATACTAGATGTACTTCCGCAAGGTCCCCGAAAGTGTTCTGTTTGTAGCGTAAATAAAACCAAAATTAAGAGTAACAAATATTTTTATTTATTGCTTTTGAAGTTCATATCTCATACTGTGTTGTAGCCTACAGAGGGAATAATTCTTCTCGTGATTCATGGTATGCGCACGTTTTACTGGCATCACGACAGTACAAATTGCAACGTAATTTCACTGTCTACTGACTGACTGACAGACAACACACTACTATACAGTAATGCGAGTAGTTAAAATAGATGACCCCTTCAGGAAAATTATAGTAACCCGCTATTTATATTACAAATATTTATGACTAAATTAAAAATTTCTAGAGTAAAATTAAAAATTTGAGAAGGTATTATATATTAAATCAAATTTATTGATACCATTTATTCCATTATCTTTTTAAACAATATATTATTTGTACACTGGTCAGTCTAAGATAAAAAAAATAGAGTACTTCCTTTTACATCTACCTCATTTGGACGCTTTGTACATAATTATTCACACTTAACGAAACTCAATACCGCCCACTTAGCCACTGCGTGTACGTAATGTTATGGTAGTAGATGGCGCTACTGATTATAGTGCATTGTAAAAAGTGCCGCGTGTTTACCGCGTTTGTTTATATATATTGTTACGACAGCGGAAGTCACGTGACCCTAGTAACATGTCATGAGATTCTAGAAGGATCGGGGAACATTACGAATAATCCAGTATTTTCTAGGCGCCCTCTATTCTTGTATATAAGTGTGCCAGATAAAGCGAGACAATTAACCACGATGGACTACCATTCGACTTCTCGCCGCGGGACACGGCTAACTTCATCCGCTACTACAAACCTCAAGCCTGAGTATTCCCTGAACGCACCCGACATCTACGGAAGGGAGACATACTCCTCCAACCC